AAAAACCAAGAGTTAATTTTGAGCTATGGAAATCACTGACTGAAGTATTTTGCATGGACCAAACTGATAGAACAGTGAGAGCAAATGCTCAGCAACGAATCGAGCTTCTTTTGTTTCCATAGGATATGCCCAAGAATACTTTGAGAAATGGTCACGACAATGAAGAATCCACTGATATTCACCATCAGGTCGTGTTCGTAGGTCAATAAGATCGATTTGTAATCTAGTTAGAAAGCCAAGTGAAACGATTGCTGCTGATTGAACATGATTTTTGACTGGTTTTCTAAGTTGACATGCAACACAGCACGACAAGAAAATGTCGATGACAACTGATGGTATCCAATAATGATGTTGACCAATTTCATGCCTCATTTTATCACGAAATCCATGACCAGTTTTTATCTGAACATTCTTCAAAATTGTAAAATATGGCTCCACAACAACAATTCTTCGATCAGTCTTTAATGAAGACAAAAGCTCGACTCCAGAAATATTGTCTATTTTGAAATGCTGTTTACACCATCCATGGAATTTGGTATCAACACCAGTACTCTTTCTACCTTTTGGTTGTTTCAAAGCATGAATGATTTTATAATAATAGACTAATGAAAGCATAGTTTTTTCTGGATATTTTAATCCAGCTCGGTAATCATCAACTTTAGAATAGAATATTTTCTCTTCATTGGAAAGAACTTCGCCATCTTCGACAACTTCTAGGTCACCATTACTAATGATCACATCATTTCCAGTAACGATGACATCGGCATCTTCAGTTGTTGTTTTGGAAGTTGATAGAACATTGCCCACCAATATGCTGGCATCCATTTTATGAAACTGTAAAATGTCGAAGTCCGTATCGATGATTGGATGATAATACGAGATGAATTTTGTGGTATCACATATTTTATCCACAGAAACATACCCACTATATATAGGATTTATTCTGACATTGGCCTAGGCCAATCCGAGATTCGCCGTACTTATCTTTCAATCTGACATTGAACTAGTCCAATCTTAGATTCGCCTGACTATTTCAGTCCAATCCAAGATTGGACGTATGTTTTATATTTTATCCAAGAATGACCTGAAAAAATGTACGTCCAATGTGAGATCCGAGTATGGACGCGTTCAATCTTGGATCTCACATTCGCCTAGGCCAATCTGAGATTGGACGTAATCTCAGTATGGACGCTCACATATATATAGATAGATTCATTGATATATATTTCTAGTCGTTACAATCAATTTCAGGATAATAATTCAAAATGTTCTTGAGTGAATGAAAAGATTTAACAATAATTATCAAATATCAATGATATTTGACTTACTTCTACATGTTATTCTTCTCGTTAGTAAGTTAATTTAATTAATGATTGATTATAATTCGATACTTTTATCGTAGATTATTTCTAATAACAATAGTTTACCAACTGCTTCTATTTTATTGAAAATTCATACGTATCGTAGCAATAGTCAAAAGAGATTTTTAAAGAATTTATTTATTTTTTAATATTAATCTGTTCTAAAATCATACAGACTCTTTTGTTTTGTTTTTCATTGAACTTGAAACGTCCATTATGATCTATTAGAAATCAATATAAACTGTTAAAACATATATCGATTTAGCATAATCTATTAGAATACATTAATATCTGAAATATTAACATAGCAAGAAATTTTTACAATGGGACTTTTAGAACACTCGGAATTTGTTTTCTAAATCGATTCATTTTCCGTCGCCTTCAGCTAGGAAACGAAACGGGTCTATCCCATTAATCTGCTTATATATCAACTTTGTTGCAACATATATGTATAATAGGAGTGTTACATACAAATAAAACCATTATTGCACAATGATAAAAACATGTCAAAAATTGTTTTTTTTTGTTAGTTTAAACTGAGTAAGAAGTATATAGATTATATCAGTTTTGTCAGTTTTGATGTTTGAAAATCTAGCAAAGTTTTTCATCAGTATTTGGAAAAATTGATCAATCAATGAATAGAAGTATAAGATGCAATCAGTTTAATTTATATAGAAATATGAATCAAAGAAGAACAAATAAATTAAAAAGTTTGTGAACATTAGAATTATCTATTTGAAGATTGTCGAAATTAGTAATATTTATCAATTCTAATAAGATATACAATTGAAAGTTCTGTAACTATATGACACATATATTTCTGTGCATTCCTCTGTCATATATATTCTTTCATTCATTGATATAAGTCTCAATGACTATTTAAATTAATTATTTCACAATAATGATTGACACATGTTGCATCAATTCTATCTCATTTAAAGTCTTCAGCATTTTCACCATATGAAATATATAAAAAAAAAAAAAAATTTTTTATTTTTAATGAATCAATCAGTTCATTCTTATAAAATATTATTTTACATTTGAAGATCAAAGTTCTCTTAATGTTTACTTCATAAAAGCCAAGATAATCAATTAAATTTTATTATTTTATTTTGTTTTTCAAGAAATAATCAGTTGATCATTTTTTTAAATGAATTTATAATCAAGATTATTTTGGATTTTATTTGAAAAAATGTATAAATTAGTAAAATATATGCCAACTGACATTATTTCCCAAAATACTAAATTAGTATATGTATTTTTCTTGTTTTGTTAATAGAAGCAAAAGTAATTTCAACTACAAGATACAAAAAAAAAATAAAAATAAAAATTGAAGATTATGAAGTGTCATTAGCCAATATATTATCACTTTGATTAAGATTTTTATTTAATATTGATGATCGTTGTTTTCATTTTGGTGAACGCTGATGTGTATATGGATTATAAGGTGATGTTGATGATGTTTGTGATAGAAGTTGATTGCGCATAAAATGATGAAAACCAGGATATGATGTATGTGGATGTATAGGAGTTGAATTTAATTCGTTTGAACGATTTTCAATAGCTTGTCTTAATATTCTAAGAAGCATTTGTGCTCGATATTTATAATCCTTAGGTGAAAGATTTTCATCATCTGCTTCTTCTTCTTCTTCTTCTGTTTCCGTTGGTGATTCTTTTACTTTTGGTTTTCTTGTATTTACATTAACTTTTATTTTTGTCATTGATGAACCAGTACAAATAGACGACTGTTGGTATTCTTTTACATTTTCACTCTTATTACCAACATTTTTCTTATTACTTCTCTGACGGATCATATCGATTGTACTTGATGTTGTAGATTCATTAACATGAGCACTAATATGTGTCTCCAATAAAGATTTTGTACTTGCTTTATTTGATACTGGTGTACTGTCTGGTGGTGGATCACCTTGAATTTCTCGTTTAATTTTAAATATCTATTTGAAAAAAATGAAATGTTTTTTGTTAATTTAATAATAGAAAGGACAAGAATGTCGAAAGATCAGTCATGTACGTTTTTCCTGATTGAGATATTTTTGGATAAGAAATTATCTTAAACGACTATTCATTTCATAGTCTATCTCTGGTAAAAGTTTCAGCTCAAACCAGGGGTCCTAATGGGCTGGGCCAAGCCCAGCCCATGGGCCGAAATTTTTCTAACAGAAAATGATGAGCTGGGCTGGGTCGTCCGATTTTTTGATGGGTGCCCATGGGCCATATTTTAAATAAAAAATAAAAATTTTCAAAAGATATCGCGTATTATCACTGAAATTGTTTTTTTGATAAATCGAATTTAATACTTTTATTTGCTACAATATTTACGCAATCAATGATGAATGAATATGTAAAACAAAAGAATAAGATAAGACAATTGTTTATCATTTTTAAAAACTTTTCTTGTAGTAATAACATGTCATCGTCGAGTTCTTCTCATTTATCAACAATGTTTAATTTATGAAATACTTAGGGTTATCCAAAAGTAGTGGCGGAGGTTCTTTTTTTTTCTTATAGAAAGTTTGAAAAAATTTTCTTTTTTATGAATAGATAGAGCGTCTTTCACTGTATCTTTCTATGCTATTTGATCACTATTAAACTAATATCATAATAATAAAATTTCGATAAAAACTATTTTTGTTGAAAACCAGCTGGTAACATTTAGATCATAATGAGTGTGGTATAAAAAATAGAACACTTTTACATTTCATTTTATTATCACTCAATACATTGTATTAAAAAAAAACAAAATATACTAAAAGATGCAGCGTGAAAAGCTCTACAATTTATAAAGTACTGCTTACTTTATAGTTGTACTTTTTCTTTTAAAAATGGACAAAACTCTGAGTTACCAAGTTTCGACGGGATGAAAAGGAGACTTTTTTTGGTAAAAAAATGAATTCAGTTTTTTTCTGTCTTATCTTTGTATCATTGTTCTTTGTAAATTGTAGAGCTCTTCACGCTGCATCTTGTAGTGTGTTTTGCTTTTTTAAAATAAAACATCTCAAGTAATAAAAAAATGAGATAGAAAAAATGGAATTAATCTTTTACCAAAAAAACAATCTCGTTTTCGCAACGTCGAAATTTGGTAGCTCGGAGTTTTGCCCATTTTTAAAAGAAAAAATACAACTATAAAGTAAGCGGTACTTTATAAATTGTAGAGCTTTTCACGCTGCATCTTTTGGTATATTTTCTTTTTTCAACACAACATATTATGTGATAATAAAGTGGAATGCAAAATTATCACATCCGTTATGATCTAAATGTTACCAGCTGGTTTTCAACAAAAATAGTTTTTATCGAAATTTTATTATTATGATATTAGTTTAATAGTGATCAAATAGCATAGAAAGATACAGTGAAAGACGCTCTATCTATTCATAAAAAAAGAAAATTTTTTCAAGCTTTCTATAAGAAAAAAAAGAACCTCCGCCACTACTTTTGGATAACCCTAAGTAAAAGAATAATAAGGTCTATTATATATTTTTCAATATGACAAATTAAACTATCTATGCGAACAATTTTAATAACATATGTGGCCCATGGGTATCCATGGGCTGGGCCGATTTTTTGGGAGAAAACCACGGGTGGGCCGGGTTGAAGTTCGCTAGCCCATGGGTTGACTTTCATAGGCCCAGCCCAGCCCATTAGGACCCCTAGCTCAAACGATCAAAGTATTGTAAAGTAATGATGAAAACATTTTTGGGATGAGTATAAAAATTCTATAATTTTCTTACCATTTTGTTTATTTGTGTTCACTGTTTTCTGAATATCTCGAGAAAGGAGAAATGTCGACGTACGTTTTTCATTGGTTATGAAAGCTCAAAGAAAGGACGGCAAAAGTAGATACTTTTTGATTTTTTCATAGGTGGTTTTTGTTTAAAAAAGATCGACTTGAATTCTGTTGAGAAATCATTTTTGTATTTTTGACTGGTAGTTAACAGATTTTATCGAAGTTCAATCCAAAAATATTTGATCTGAGTCAAAAATCAATAATATATTTGAAATCAGCACTGAAAGCTGAATGGATTCATATGTCTTTCAAATTTTTTCACCAAGGTTTTTTTTCTTCGAAAAATTCGCTTAGATACCCCTTAGGACTCGATCAAAAATTAAAATCACTCAAAACACTACTTTCATTGTTTAATCATCTGTTCCTTTGTATTCTACGAACGGTTTATAAGCTCAGAACTTGTTTTCCACTGTTGAAATGGCTTTCTAATTAAGGCCACTTATGAAAAAATCAAAAAGTATCTACTTTTGCCGTCCTTTCTTTGAGCTTTCAGAATCAATGAAAAACCAATATATCATTTTTTCCTTTTTCGAGATATTCAGAGAACAGTGAACACAAGTAAACAAAAAGATAAGACAATTATAGAATATTTATTATATTCGTCCCGAAGAATGTCTTCATCATTACTCAGCAACACTTTGACCGTTCGGACTGAAATTTTTAACCAGAGATAGATTATGAAATGGACAGTCGTTTAAGATAATTTCTTATCCGAATTGTCTCATTTGGAAAAAACATACATGATTGATCTTTCTACATTTGAGCCATGAATTTATGATACAAAAGTGAATATTCGTATTTTGACCAGAATCGATAAGCTGGGGGAAAACTGACGACAGCCAAAAAATGGCCCTTATGCATTCTGTCCTTACTATTTTATTTGTTGAGATCGGTTCAGCATCATTAATATGAGCTTTTGGATAAGCAACAACATGCATTTCATATTGTTTACTAACAGTATAACCATCTACTGAAAAATGAAATTCTTTTGATGATATAATCATTCTTTCTCCAATATCATTAATATATAATTCAAAATGATCAATAAGATCAATTAAACATGTTGGTTCAATTTCAATTTTTGTGTACTCAAAAAGTGAGTACACTATAGAATCGGTCAGTGTGTCCGTCCGGCCGGCCGTTTACACGATAACTTTCGAAAGGAGAGTCCAATCGCGATGAAATTTTCTACACAGTTCAGTCTTAACAATGTCTCGGTCGAGTTCGAAGATGAG